ATGGTGATTCAGCAGATTCTGTGTGAACTGACACCTGGAGAAGTTACTTGACCTTCTTGTTGATCTTTCCTTTGGTAATACGGGCGCCTGTGTCCCCCGCCCCCCCTGCCCCGTGTACGCTCCTCCTTTGCTCTGCTCCCCTGAAGGCATTAGGACCAGACTGTTTGGGAAAAGAGAAGGAAGAGCTTCATAATGTTTTTGGTATCTCCTTTTCCTCGTACATTGCCAGAAATGAGGGAGGTAAACTAGATACTCAAGATTTAAAAGTCACGGAATAATTATTCATTCATTCATAGGAGAGTATTTCTATGGCCCTGTTTTAAAAGCTGGAGGCATAGCAGACAAAGTCCTGTCCTGTCTAGTGGACAGCGTGGAGCTCATGTGTCTGTTTCTCTTTTTGGGAAACAGACAAAAGTCCCCTCTGCGTGACTGACACTGGAGTACTGTCACCACCCCACCCCACCCCCCACCCCGGAGCATCGGGGAGCAGTCTGCATGCTGTCTGCTGGCTTTTTTTCTTCAGTTGCTTGATGGGGGCCTGTAGGTTGACCATGGCTAAGATAAAGTCCTGAGGGAATTCTGAGATTCTCTTAAGAATGGAACACTGCTGTGAAGGGCCAGTTGTGTGCTGAAGCTTTTAGAAAGTCTGTCACTGTGAACGAAGTGCAGGAGAGTGACTGGGAGACAGACAAAGCAGAAAAGGAGGAACTAGGTTAAAAAAGAGAACTGGCAGTGAGCTTAGGCTGCAGTGACACTGGGTATTAATACTGAGTGGATGGATGGATGGATGGATGGATAAAAATAAGAGAAAACCTCAGTACTAGGATGTTTTCTTTTTAAAATGAAAAATGGACCCAGCATTTCCATTGTGCTTGTTGAGCAGGCGACATCACCGACGTCAGTCCACAAGAGCAGATTCAAATCTCCCCAGCAGAATGCTCCCGAGGCCTGATAAGCAGGGCTGGAAACTGAATCAGAAAACATTCTGAGCAGTCAGCTAATCATGCTGTTTAGGCGATTGCTTTGTCCACATCTGTTTCTTCCTCGCATTGCTGGAGTGACGTTCTCAGTTGTTCTCAGCTGGAGTGAAGCACTTCAGTTTCCATGACAGAGGCACAGATTTTTCATCTTCCTAAATTAGGCTGCGTGTGCTTCCCTCGGGCAACCCCCTGGCATTTTACATTATTACAGACATTGTATACGAGTCTGATAGGCTATGGTTTTAATTTTGATCCAGTCTGGTCTTTGTTTCCATCTGTATGAATGTCTATACACATATGCTGTTCTAATGTTCAACTGCTTTTTCTCACAAAGGCTAAAAAAACAACTTGATTTCCCTTTTTCCAGCAACAGTAGAATATAACAATTAAAAGGCTCCAGTCATTCTTAACAAATTAAAGCTGTTGATGGCAAAGAAATTAATCTAGAGCAGCAACTATAGTGTTAGAAATGAAGAGTTCAGGCTAACTTGTTCTTTTTGGTTTAAGAAAAAATGAAATAGCAACCCTCCCAAATAGTTAAAAGAAAGTCAAAAACCAAAATTGGTCCAGTAGACCTAATGTAACAGCAAGGATTGAGTTGACTAGAAATATGTATTAACTGTATTAATGAAGCTTTTATTGTGGAGTCACTTAGAATGGAAACAACCTACGTGAGTAGCTTTAGCCTTTCTTCCCCTCACTTAGACTTGCAGGGGTTGTGCAGGCTGATAGCTTTATGTTCTGACCTCCCCTTGTGTGAGCTGCATGGAAACAAAGAATAAATCAATGTCTTTTTGACTGAGGGAGGTGCTTCGTCCTCCTGCTCCTTTGGTTCGCAGGAGCCCTGCCTTGTCTTGTGGTTCCTCCCTGAAGCTCTTCCCTCTGTCAGAGCCCTTGAGCTGTGAGGTGAAGTGCGTCTCTGTTGGGCACAGAGCATTGCCAGCATCCCAGCTGGGAGGAATCTAGGAGGTGTGTGTGCCAAGCACGATGTCACTGGGAGCAGGTCTTGCAGCAGCCTGCCAAGGCCAGGGGTAGCCTGCCAGTACAAACGCCACGTTGACATGACATTTACAAGTTTAGAGTTTGGAAAAGGACTGGCAATGGAATACCCTTCAGCTGCCTCATTCAGGCTGAGTAACTGGGCCAACAGAAGTCACAGTCAAGAGGAATACTTCGTATGGAATTTGAAGCTGTCACTGCTGCTTTTTCTAGGAAGTAATGAATCCTGTTAGCCTGTTGCTGGAATGCAGGACAGACCAGAGTGGCTAAGAGTATGGATTAGACCTGGGTTTGAGTGAGGCCCCTGCCCCTCAATGTGCGACCCTGAGAAAGTTACTTAATCTCTGAAGCCTCAGTTTCCCATCTGTTAAGTAGGGATAGTAATACTGTTTCCCTCGCAGGGTTATTGGACGGATTAAATAATGTCTTTAAAATTGTAAGCACTTGACCAATACTAAGTGTTCAATAGATGTGAGGTATAGCTCATGAGAAATTCAGATTTTCATCTGTTTCTAATATTTAGTAACAAGTAGATATATCACAACCTGCCAGGAACATGTCAGTACGTGAGTTTATGTAGACTTAGGTGTTACGGGAGCACTACGCACAAGAAGCCCGGAACACCTCTCTAGGAGAAGGAGCCAGAGTCAGGAATATTGGAGCATTTGGCGTCTCTTAACAGTTTCTTAGATGCAGAAACCATTTGGGTGTTAAGAATTGATTTCAGTCATAGCAGCCCTCTGCTTGGCCTGGGACTTCTCTGTGGTGTATTTGAATGCACACAAAGACCTAGAACTCTTCCTAGAGATGTGCTGTGATTGTCAGGGAGTCTGTCTTTGTGATGTGGGTAACCGGCACTTGGTCTTGGTTAAACCTTTTTTGATCGAGTAGCTAAATAACAGATTTTTCTGTGCTGTTTATATAAAATAGGATCCTCATTATGGCACTCAGTTGGCTTCCTCTAATCACTCCTTATACCATTAGGAAATTCTGTCAAATGACAAAATTCTAGCTTGTCTTGTTTATTCCCCTTGTTTTTCAGATCTTCAAAACTGCTGCGGGCATTCTACGTCCCCTTCCTGTCAGATCAGTATACAGTGTATGCAAACTACACCATCCTCAAACCCCGGAAACCAAAGCAAGTCAGGAAGAAAGGTGGAGGTTAGCATCATGCCGGTGGCCCTGAAGGACAACCATCCTGTTAACTAGGGACTCCACCAATGGGACTCCCAGGCTTCACGTGTGGCATTTGTAATAAAGGCTGTCCGACTCAAACACTGGCATCTGGGGTGCTTTGACCTGGTCTAACTCACTTCCTGCCTGTGTCTCTGTTCTGCATGTAAACTTTTTGCAGCTAGGCCGAAGAAGGCCCTACAGTCCAGGTAGATACCCTTGTTCTGGTCAGTTGTCTAGTCGACCGGAGAAGAGCAGAACCAGCTTACAAGAAGAACGGAAAATGCTGAACTGGGCGCTGTGTTGAGCTGCTGTCCATACTCAGGCTGGCGTCTGAGGACCGGCAAGCCTCTCTTTGCACATATGTGCTTCTCCTCCAAAGCTTTTGGGCAGCTCCTTGCAGACCCCACAGTGCAGATGGTAGTGCGAGGATGAGCACAGCGTAGCTGCCAACTGCGAGTCCCTTTCACCTCCAGCAAGGCTGAGGTTCCCTAAAGCTCTCCCAGGACTAGGACGGTCCTGGAGGTGCCTCAGGAAAAAGGCAGCCATCTGAGGGACTGTGACCTGATTTCATTATATAAGATGTCTCTTGTTTCCTTTACAACAAACTGTGATTATATGGCATTTTTGTTTGTTTTAAGTGTTAGCATGCTATTTCTTGAATTGACGACCCATGTAAAAGTATCAACAGGCCAGACCACAGCTATACAGGAGAAAGTTAATGCTGTCAGTTGGTAGATTTGGATGATATTGGCATTTTTTAGTGATGTATTCTGAAGCTATTTCTGAGGAGATTAAGAATTTCCCTTTTTTTACAGCCCTAGTGAAAAAGACAAGTATATGTTTATAGCACCTGTTTTTGAGTCTGTCTGTTGCAAAGCCGATCCTGCATGGGGCACTAGTCAGATGGGCAGTGGTGAGGACCTAGCAAGCTTTGTAAGTATATACTGTTAGTTTACCTTTGTGTATAGTGTTTCATAGTTTGCAAAGACTTTGACATTATCTCTTTTGATTCTCACCATCACAGCATTAGGTAGACAAAGCAAGTAGTTTTGTCCCCATTTTACAGATGAAGAAACTGAGACTACGGGGAGGTGAAGTGGGCTTTCCGAGGTCACATGCCAGTAAGTGGCAGAGCAGGCCTAGAACCTAGGCTGTCTAACCTCCCATCTGGTGCTTTCCCAGACATCCTCTCGATGGGAAAGCATCACTTGGAAGGGTGGTGACGTTGGCCAGAGACCTGATTGGTAATGTGCCTTTCCATTTTAAGGAAGAATGTTATCTGTGTGTCTGCGTGTCAGAGCCCCCAGCCTGCCTGTTGGTTAGGCCGTCTCAGCGGCGCTCCGCGATGCTGCCCAGCCTGCAGCAGGGAGGGGGCGCTCACGCTGGGAAGTCATTCTCCTGTCAGCCATGCAGGGTCCCGTTGTCAGTCTCAGGTCACAGTATACTGGCCTCATCCCCTTAGGGTACTTGTGTCTGTTATCTGCAAATAGGATGAGTCTGCTTTTCAAAGTTTTCATCTTTCATTTTTCAAAGAGAAGGGCTTTTCAGTAGGAACTGATCCCAAGAGAGGAGTAACGCCATAAGGGAAGAGATGTTTCCTTATGGAAGCCTCCTCGGTGATCCCCTCTAGTGGGATGTCTTCAGCGGGACTGAAGCACCGGGAAGCAACGGATCAGCATAGGGCGGCGACTGGAGGGTGAAGACAGACAGCTCCCGTTTGCTGCTTTGAAGACTGCAGGCATTCAATTCTCAAAACTTGATCACTATTTTCCGAGGCAGATACTGGCCTGTGTAGTCTGACTACAGGTCAGAGGATGAGCTTCATAATGTTTTTGGTATCTCCTTTTCCTCGTACATTGCCAGAAATGAGGGAGGTAAACTAGATACTCAAGATTTAAAAGTCACGGAATAATTATTCATTCATTCATAGGAGAGTATTTCTATGGCCCTGTTTTAAAAGCTGGAGGCATAGCAGACAAAGTCCTGTCCTGTCTAGTGGACAGCGTGGAGCTCATGTGTCTGTTTCTCTTTTTGGGAAACAGACAAAAGTCCCCTCTGCGTGACTGACACTGGAGTACTGTCACCACCCCACCCCACCCCCCACCCCGGAGCATCGGGGAGCAGTCTGCATGCTGTCTGCTGGCTTTTTTTCTTCAGTTGCTTGATGGGGGCCTGTAGGTTGACCATGGCTAAGATAAAGTCCTGAGGGAATTCTGAGATTCTCTTAAGAATGGAACACTGCTGTGAAGGGCCAGTTGTGTGCTGAAGCTTTTAGAAAGTCTGTCACTGTGAACGAAGTGCAGGAGAGTGACTGGGAGACAGACAAAGCAGAAAAGGAGGAACTAGGTTAAAAAAGAGAACTGGCAGTGAGCTTAGGCTGCAGTGACACTGGGTATTAATACTGAGTGGATGGATGGATGGATGGATGGATAAAAATAAGAGAAAACCTCAGTACTAGGATGTTTTCTTTTTAAAATGAAAAATGGACCCAGCATTTCCATTGTGCTTGTTGAGCAGGCGACATCACCGACGTCAGTCCACAAGAGCAGATTCAAATCTCCCCAGCAGAATGCTCCCGAGGCCTGATAAGCAGGGCTGGAAACTGAATCAGAAAACATTCTGAGCAGTCAGCTAATCATGCTGTTTAGGCGATTGCTTTGTCCACATCTGTTTCTTCCTCGCATTGCTGGAGTGACGTTCTCAGTTGTTCTCAGCTGGAGTGAAGCACTTCAGTTTCCATGACAGAGGCACAGATTTTTCATCTTCCTAAATTAGGCTGCGTGTGCTTCCCTCGGGCAACCCCCTGGCATTTTACATTATTACAGACATTGTATACGAGTCTGATAGGCTATGGTTTTAATTTTGATCCAGTCTGGTCTTTGTTTCCATCTGTATGAATGTCTATACACATATGCTGTTCTAATGTTCAACTGCTTTTTCTCACAAAGGCTAAAAAAACAACTTGATTTCCCTTTTTCCAGCAACAGTAGAATATAACAATTAAAAGGCTCCAGTCATTCTTAACAAATTAAAGCTGTTGATGGCAAAGAAATTAATCTAGAGCAGCAACTATAGTGTTAGAAATGAAGAGTTCAGGCTAACTTGTTCTTTTTGGTTTAAGAAAAAATGAAATAGCAACCCTCCCAAATAGTTAAAAGAAAGTCAAAAACCAAAATTGGTCCAGTAGACCTAATGTAACAGCAAGGATTGAGTTGACTAGAAATATGTATTAACTGTATTAATGAAGCTTTTATTGTGGAGTCACTTAGAATGGAAACAACCTACGTGAGTAGCTTTAGCCTTTCTTCCCCTCACTTAGACTTGCAGGGGTTGTGCAGGCTGATAGCTTTATGTTCTGACCTCCCCTTGTGTGAGCTGCATGGAAACAAAGAATAAATCAATGTCTTTTTGACTGAGGGAGGTGCTTCGTCCTCCTGCTCCTTTGGTTCGCAGGAGCCCTGCCTTGTCTTGTGGTTCCTCCCTGAAGCTCTTCCCTCTGTCAGAGCCCTTGAGCTGTGAGGTGAAGTGCGTCTCTGTTGGGCACAGAGCATTGCCAGCATCCCAGCTGGGAGGAATCTAGGAGGTGTGTGTGCCAAGCACGATGTCACTGGGAGCAGGTCTTGCAGCAGCCTGCCAAGGCCAGGGGTAGCCTGCCAGTACAAACGCCACGTTGACATGACATTTACAAGTTTAGAGTTTGGAAAAGGACTGGCAATGGAATACCCTTCAGCTGCCTCATTCAGGCTGAGTAACTGGGCCAACAGAAGTCACAGTCAAGAGGAATACTTCGTATGGAATTTGAAGCTGTCACTGCTGCTTTTTCTAGGAAGTAATGAATCCTGTTAGCCTGTTGCTGGAATGCAGGACAGACCAGAGTGGCTAAGAGTATGGATTAGACCTGGGTTTGAGTGAGGCCCCTGCCCCTCAATGTGCGACCCTGAGAAAGTTACTTAATCTCTGAAGCCTCAGTTTCCCATCTGTTAAGTAGGGATAGTAATACTGTTTCCCTCGCAGGGTTATTGGACGGATTAAATAATGTCTTTAAAATTGTAAGCACTTGACCAATACTAAGTGTTCAATAGATGTGAGGTATAGCTCATGAGAAATTCAGATTTTCATCTGTTTCTAATATTTAGTAACAAGTAGATATATCACAACCTGCCAGGAACATGTCAGTACGTGAGTTTATGTAGACTTAGGTGTTACGGGAGCACTACGCACAAGAAGCCCGGAACACCTCTCTAGGAGAAGGAGCCAGAGTCAGGAATATTGGAGCATTTGGCGTCTCTTAACAGTTTCTTAGATGCAGAAACCATTTGGGTGTTAAGAATTGATTTCAGTCATAGCAGCCCTCTGCTTGGCCTGGGACTTCTCTGTGGTGTATTTGAATGCACACAAAGACCTAGAACTCTTCCTAGAGATGTGCTGTGATTGTCAGGGAGTCTGTCTTTGTGATGTGGGTAACCGGCACTTGGTCTTGGTTAAACCTTTTTTGATCGAGTAGCTAAATAACAGATTTTTCTGTGCTGTTTATATAAAATAGGATCCTCATTATGGCACTCAGTTGGCTTCCTCTAATCACTCCTTATACCATTAGGAAATTCTGTCAAATGACAAAATTCTAGCTTGTCTTGTTTATTCCCCTTGTTTTTCAGATCTTCAAAACTGCTGCGGGCATTCTACGTCCCCTTCCTGTCAGATCAGTATACAGTGTATGCAAACTACACCATCCTCAAACCCCGGAAACCAAAGCAAGTCAGGAAGAAAGGTGGAGGTTAGCATCATGCCGGTGGCCCTGAAGGACAACCATCCTGTTAACTAGGGACTCCACCAATGGGACTCCCAGGCTTCACGTGTGGCATTTGTAATAAAGGCTGTCCGACTCAAACACTGGCATCTGGGGTGCTTTGACCTGGTCTAACTCACTTCCTGCCTGTGTCTCTGTTCTGCATGTAAACTTTTTGCAGCTAGGCCGAAGAAGGCCCTACAGTCCAGGTAGATACCCTTGTTCTGGTCAGTTGTCTAGTCGACCGGAGAAGAGCAGAACCAGCTTACAAGAAGAACGGAAAATGCTGAACTGGGCGCTGTGTTGAGCTGCTGTCCATACTCAGGCTGGCGTCTGAGGACCGGCAAGCCTCTCTTTGCACATATGTGCTTCTCCTCCAAAGCTTTTGGGCAGCTCCTTGCAGACCCCACAGTGCAGATGGTAGTGCGAGGATGAGCACAGCGTAGCTGCCAACTGCGAGTCCCTTTCACCTCCAGCAAGGCTGAGGTTCCCTAAAGCTCTCCCAGGACTAGGACGGTCCTGGAGGTGCCTCAGGAAAAAGGCAGCCATCTGAGGGACTGTGACCTGATTTCATTATATAAGATGTCTCTTGTTTCCTTTACAACAAACTGTGATTATATGGCATTTTTGTTTGTTTTAAGTGTTAGCATGCTATTTCTTGAATTGACGACCCATGTAAAAGTATCAACAGGCCAGACCACAGCTATACAGGAGAAAGTTAATGCTGTCAGTTGGTAGATTTGGATGATATTGGCATTTTTTAGTGATGTATTCTGAAGCTATTTCTGAGGAGATTAAGAATTTCCCTTTTTTTACAGCCCTAGTGAAAAAGACAAGTATATGTTTATAGCACCTGTTTTTGAGTCTGTCTGTTGCAAAGCCGATCCTGCATGGGGCACTAGTCAGATGGGCAGTGGTGAGGACCTAGCAAGCTTTGTAAGTATATACTGTTAGTTTACCTTTGTGTATAGTGTTTCATAGTTTGCAAAGACTTTGACATTATCTCTTTTGATTCTCACCATCACAGCATTAGGTAGACAAAGCAAGTAGTTTTGTCCCCATTTTACAGATGAAGAAACTGAGACTACGGGGAGGTGAAGTGGGCTTTCCGAGGTCACATGCCAGTAAGTGGCAGAGCAGGCCTAGAACCTAGGCTGTCTAACCTCCCATCTGGTGCTTTCCCAGACATCCTCTCGATGGGAAAGCATCACTTGGAAGGGTGGTGACGTTGGCCAGAGACCTGATTGGTAATGTGCCTTTCCATTTTAAGGAAGAATGTTATCTGTGTGTCTGCGTGTCAGAGCCCCCAGCCTGCCTGTTGGTTAGGCCGTCTCAGCGGCGCTCCGCGATGCTGCCCAGCCTGCAGCAGGGAGGGGGCGCTCACGCTGGGAAGTCATTCTCCTGTCAGCCATGCAGGGTCCCGTTGTCAGTCTCAGGTCACAGTATACTGGCCTCATCCCCTTAGGGTACTTGTGTCTGTTATCTGCAAATAGGATGAGTCTGCTTTTCAAAGTTTTCATCTTTCATTTTTCAAAGAGAAGGGCTTTTCAGTAGGAACTGATCCCAAGAGAGGAGTAACGCCATAAGGGAAGAGATGTTTCCTTATGGAAGCCTCCTCGGTGATCCCCTCTAGTGGGATGTCTTCAGCGGGACTGAAGCACCGGGAGGCAACGGATCAGCATAGGGTGGCGACTGGAGGGTGAAGACAGACAGCTCCCGTTTGCTGCTTTGAAGACTGCAGGCATTCAATTCTCAAAACTTGATCACTATTTTCCGAGGCAGATACTGGCCTGTGTAGTCTGACTACAGGTCAGAGGATGCTCAGTGAAATGCCCTTCAGGAATGACATACAGTCCTTCACAGTGGCTAAGGCTTCTACTTTTTGCAGAGGTTAGAGTCTAGCAGTAGGGATCTGTGATGAGTGGCCTTTTTCTAATGAGTGATATGATGCCAGTTTATTTTGTCATCTTGCATGTTTAAACAAAAAGCTTTTTGACGAAGAACTTACTGTAACAGCACAAAAAGGTCATGGCTGGTCCGCAGTTCCTTGGGAATGACCGTTCCTGCCACTTCTAAAACCTGGTTCTCGTTTCCTCTGCTCTCTGTCTATCTTTAGTGGGAGCGCAGTAAATTTCATATACAGTGCCAGATGCTATAGGTAAGGGATATAAAAGTGAATGCTTTTTGTTGTGAAGCTGGTTTTCATGTGATACTATATAAACACAGTTAAAAATCTTCATCTGAGCAACACAGGGAATTTTAGCTTTCTCTGGAAGAGTTTCAAAATTCCTGGTCAGAGTAGCACGTCTTCTCCAGAGAACGGGTGTCCAGCATGAGCCGACCGCTCTGCTCACTGTAAGGATAAAGTAAGGCACTTGTTTCTCCATAGATGGTTGAGTATTAAGAAAGAAGGACTACAGATGATTGGTAATAAGCTTTGATTATGGCTGACGAAGGGAGTGTGTGTAATGGGTGATGCTCGAGCTCTGATCTATAGATCTTGAGCAGCCCTATCCAGACACCAGATCTTAATGACACCGAGTCCCATTCCTTGCCAGACTGCGTAGCTGGCATCCATTAACCAAAGGTCACTGGCTACCTGCTAGGTGTCATCTCTTAGGAAAGAAGACTGGTCATTTTAATCCCTTAGGATCATCACAGAAAATTGAAGCACATACTATTACTGAATTCAAGTTTAGAAACAGATTCTTTGTTTTCAATCAAGGTGGGTCTTGATCCCAACCATGTGTTTATGTGGGTCATTTTTCCTAGGTTGGGGTTCTGGGAAAGAACCTTGAAAACCCGTGTGATCGCAGAGCATCAGGTCTGGAGCAACCATCTGGGCAAAGCACTGACTGGAGACCCTTTGCTGTGTCTTGTGTCTCATGAGATTTATTGAAAAAAGAATTCACTGTGATCTTGCTGTCTTCTATCCAATGTCAGACAGCTTTGCCTTTAATTTAGTTAACTTTCCTTTCTCTGAAGAGGGAAAAGAGGCCCAATTCATTCTTTGCCTCCACAAGAATATTAAAGCTCATATGTCAGTTCAGCCTTAGGCTCCTGCATTCAGTGCCTGGGCGAACGGGTTGGCAGACGTGTGCTCAGTGTTAAATTCTTTCCAACAGAAAGATCAGACTTCCATATGGCATTGTGGAGTCTCAGGGCCTTTCTGGTGTTTCGGTCTAAACGGACATCGCCTTCTGTGTCTCCAGCGCACATAGCCACGTGATCGGCGCCTCACGTGAGATCGGGAGGCAGTGTGGTGTGTTGGAGCAATTGCATTGTCCAATTCTTCTGCGTTTTTGATCTGTGCACACTATTTCACATGCCCTTCTTTCCATTACATGTTTGTATTTTCTGTAAAAGAAAAAGTTAAATAAATCTTGGCAGTTTGATTTTCCTTTCCGTAAGGTGGTATTTTCTCTTGCTGTTCTGGCTTTTAAATCTGTGGTGGACATGGGAAGCTGAAGGAGCCAACTCCTTCCGACCCTTGCCTTTCAGTGGGCAGACCCGCCTTCTGCAGGCCAAGTAGCCCAGAGTTTATTCCGAAAACTCCAGGACGAAGCCTTTGGGAAGCCCCCTGACCTTGAGTTTTGTCACAGTAGGAATTACTGTAGGAATCACTCAGTATGTCAATGTTGTGCCTACAAGAGAGTTTCTCGGTTAGTCTTAACGGTTTTGCATCAAGAATCTCTGGACTGTGAGAGTTTTAGTACTTACAAGAGTGCAAATGTGGTAACATCTGACATTTCAGTGACTTCCCTCTTTGTCAGGAGTTGTCCAGAGCAGTAAAGCTCTACTGTGAATAAATGCCTGACATCATTCCTATACCTTGCACCTTTAGTAGCCCTCTGGTTTTATACCATCAGTTTTCACCCAGAATACCCACGAAATTTGGTTTATTTCTCCCAATTTGTCTTAGAGAAGGTTGCTTTATTGATATAATTACAGGAAGGAGATGTCCTCAGTCTCAGTTCATTTCTCTTCCCCTGTCCAGGTCATCCCCTCTATTTGTTGCTCTTTTAGAGCCAGCTTGAGTCTCCCTCCTCTCCAGACTTCACGCCCCTGTGATCGCTTCCTTTCTTGAGCCCCTAGTGTCTTTATTAGTGGCATAGAACCTTACCATGTAACCCTTATAAACCTGTCTCTCAGAAACACTGTTGGTACGTCTAGGGGCAAAGACCTGCCGCCCCTCTGGGTACGCCTTGTGCTCGGCAGCAGTCCCTGAACACTGGGTACTGCTCGAGTTTGCTGACAGTGACGAGGGCAGAGGGGAAGGGCCCTCCCGCTGACACACAGCTGCTGCTTTCAGTTTGATGTCCTCACAGGGCAGTTTGGAAGACAGAAATGTGTACTTTAGGAATTCACAGGCTTCCACTCACAGCAGAGCACCTTCTGAAGACAGAGATTGGGCACCTTTGTTGAGCATTTACATTATACTTGATTTTGGAAGGTCAGACTTAATGCAGGGACTGTCTGATTTGGGGCAGAACCTCTCCTGCCCGTGTGCTGGATCCCACCGGCTACCTGCCCTGCCGGAAATGCAATCTGATGGCAAGATGTCCTGGCAGTGGGTCACACAAATTCTGTGATTCAAGGACTGATACAACTGAAAGTACTTCTGGCCCCTCAGCTGTGAAGTTCAATATAGACATTGAAACAAACTAACCAACAGATTTGATAAATGAAAAGTAAATTCAGAGAAGAAATGAATTACAAAATTGTAGTGACAAATCAGAAAATCCTATTGTAGCTTTTTAGAATAAATAGCTGGTGATTAACAATTGGGGTAAGTAATATTTTACCTGAGTATGCGCATTAAAAAAAAATGATTTGGGTGAATCTTTACATAAACTATTTAAAGGTGATAAAGTTTTTTTTTTTTTTTTTTTTTT